TTATGAAATATACAAAACGTATATATTTTTTTGATTATGATGAAATAGTTGAAATATTCGAAAGCTCATAAACGGTAACCCATCCATATATAGCTTATATCACACACTAATCATTGGAAATAGTTAATTTTGCTCACGTTCATAGTAAAAATGAAATGTAACAAAAAAAAAATGAAATGTAACGAACCCGAATTATATTTGGACAAGAAAAAGTCAAGTTAGTATTCAAGAATTAGAGACCAAATTGTAACAAATGCCGTTTGGAGACACGACACAATGTGGGAATAAAGAAGAAAAAAAACTGCAATGAAGTGAAGGGACAAAAATTAAATGCTCGGCAGAGGACGGCACCGTCTTGATCCATTCACAACCGTACGCCACACACCCCTCACCGGCGTTTACCGGTGACCAGTGTTTTCTTTCTTTCTATTATATTTTAATTCCATTTTATTTTATATTCTTTTGCCCGCGTAAATGAGACGAAATAATAAATAATTATTATAAAAAAAAACAAATGGGAAACCTCCTAAATCCAAGCTGTTTTCCAGAAGAACCCAAAACTCCACAAAAGTTATATTCACACCTCTCTCTTATCTCAAAAAATCTTATAAACCATTACAAAATAAAAAACATATAATCACCCAGAAAGCTTAAGAAAAGTTTTCCTTTTTTTCCCTCACGAAATCTCAGAGAAGATGATATATATCTATAAAAGTATCATCTCATAGATTCCATCCTTTTCTCTATTACATGGAGAAGAAAAAAGAAGAGGATCATCATCATCATCATCAACAACAACAACAAAAGGAGATCAAGAACACAGAGACAAAGATCGAGCAAGAACAAGAACAAGAACAAAAACAAGAAATCTCTCAAGCATCATCATCATCAAACATGGCGAATCTAGTTACGTCATCAGATCATCATCAGTTGGAGCTAGCTGGAAATCTCTCAAGCATCTTCGATACTTCATCTTTACCTTTTCCTTATTCTTATTTCGAAGATCACTCTTCTAATAATCCTAATTCTTTCCTAGACTTGCTCCGACAAGATCACCAGTTTGCTTCTTCCTCTAATTCCTCTTCTTTTTCATTTGATGCCTTTCCTCTCCCCAACAACAACAACAACACCTCTTTTCTTACGGATTTGCCCTTACCTCAAGCTGAGTCATCAGAAGTCGTGAACACAACACCGACTTCTCCAAACTCAACCTCAGTCTCATCTTCCTCCAACGAAGCTGCAAATGATAACAACAGTGGTAAAGAAGTTACTGTTAAAGATCAAGAAGAAGGAGATCAACAACAAGAGCAAAAGGGTACTAAGCCACAGTAAGTTTATTCATTAACCCTCCATTCTGATACTGATTTGTGTTGGATTTTTATTAATTATTGTGAGTTTTTCTTTCTTTCTTTTCTTTTTGAAGGTTGAAGGCAAAGAAGAAGAGTCAAAAGAAAACTAGAGAAGCTAGGTTTGCGTTTCTGACGAAGAGCGATATTGATAATCTTGACGACGGTTATAGGTGGAGAAAATACGGCCAAAAAGCTGTCAAAAACAGTCCTTATCCCAGGTATAAATACATATAACTCTGTATATACATATATATTGCAGCCCTAGCTAGATCCATTTAGACCATCAGACCATGCTCACTATATATGCATGTGTTTACATATACTTTATATGTAAAGATATTTATATGCATATCTACTTTATATGCACATGTAAGTATATTTCGCTAGATCGGGTTTATCCAATTTATGGATCATCCACATTTTTCTACATATTGTACATATGCATGTTCATTCAGATATTGATATACATAACACACCATATCTGTAGTCATATATAATTTTTTTTTATATTTAGGTGTGTGTAGAGTAGCCCTAGATTCAGTGTTCTCTATATATGCAGAGTCTAATATGCATATAACATGACCCTATTCAATCATATATATGTACACTATATGTTAATATAGACGACTGTATATACCTAATACGCGTTTTTGTAGGGTCAAAAAAACGTTTGAATTTTTGTTTTCGAGAATATCTTTTCTTTTGTTCCATTCCATGAGGTTTCTATGTTTTGTGTTATTCTTCCCTTGATTTATGTTGCTTGTGTCGGAAGATTTCTGTTTCATCTTGTTCCAAACTTCATCTCAGATCTCGAGATCTTCTGTATCTCTGTATATCTTCCATGTTTCAAACTAAAATAGATTAGAAATTTGGATGTATTAGTACTTAATTTATTTTTTTTCCTGAAAATACAGAAGCTATTACCGTTGCACCACAGTGGGTTGCGGAGTGAAGAAGAGAGTGGAGAGATCCTCCGATGATCCTTCGATCGTCATGACAACCTACGAAGGTCAGCATACCCATCCTTTCCCCATGACGCCACGTGGACACATCGGAATGCTCACGTCACCAATCCTAGACCACGGTGCAACCACCGCGTCATCATCATCATTCTCCATCCCTCAGCCACGTTACTTGCTGACTCAACATCACCAGCCCTACAACATGTACAACAACAACTCTCTAAGTATGATCAATAGAAGATCATCCGATGGCACTTTCGTAAATCCAGGTCCATCATCATCATTCCCCGGCTTTGGTTATGATATGTCTCAAGCTTCTACTTCAACTTCTTCTTCCATTAGAGATCATGGATTGCTTCAAGATATTCTTCCTTCGCAGATCAGATCCGATACTATTAACACTCAAACCAATGAAGAGAATAAGAAATGAAGAAGTTTTTTTTCCCGGGGCAATTGTTTTTTTCTTTTGGCCGGATCCGGTAGGTAGGTTTCATGAGGAGTTTTTGGTCGGTTTAGGTAAACCGATGTTGATGGCTTTCTAATGTTTTTTTCTTCATTACATTTAGCATCGGTTTTGTTTCATCACCACGAAATAAGCAATCGACGCTAAGTTGGAACAGAGGTTTATGTAGCATATGTGATATAGGTATAACTTCATTTTTTGTTTGAGTATTAATAAAGATGTATCGTTAACTTTTTATGACTTCGGAGAGAGAAGAGTTTAATCTAGTTATATAGTATGTATTTAGTTGTATTATAGTGTTTCTAGACCATCTAATTTGTAATCATGCTATCACTAGCCCGGCTCAGAATCTTACATTTATTTTATTTTCATATATCCATCCTAATCGATGTAGATTTACATAACATACAGTATACACAAAGATACTTCGAGGTTTGTTGCTATTCAATCATCTATATGCTTACCATTGCTCACAACAAATATATTATTCTACAATCATGTATATTCCTTATAGTTACATATATTAACTTGATCAGTTTTTGTATTATAGTCATCAAGATGCAATGCCATCACACAAAACAAAATCTTATATGACCTAATGTGATCCTTGGCTAGATTAGATATAAGATATTTGAAAGTAAATTAATACTTTATTGGACGTTCATATATATTCTCAATTTTCATAACTACAGTAATTTCACATCATACTATTCATAAGTAAACATATATACCATAACGACATCTACATATAACTTTTAAAATGATAACAAAAAGCCTAAATAAAAAAAAAAATATATTTCATATCTATGAATCAGTCATATAGGTGCTAAAAATGTTAGCTTTATATTCTCATCTTTATATAAAGATTCATAAAGAGAGAACTTTTAGTCTTAAACTCAAAGTCTCCTTTATAGTTTTCTTCACTGCGACTTTTATGTTAGTCTTCAATCATCACAAATAAAATTCAAAAAGACTTTCAGGATTAATGAGCACACTGTTTATATCTACATGCGTACTTGACCCACCCATTACTTAGTTGTAGTCTTGTAGATATGGTCATATGGACCATATTTAATTTTTGACATTATCAACATCCTTTCTTTAGTTCTCCTTTTTTCAAGTATTTTAATTACAAGATAAAAATAAAATGAATTGGACTGTTATGGTATGTAACTATGTATAACTATACTTCGTTAAAATTCATTTTAATGTAACTCATCCTTTGACATTAGTTAACACACACACACAAACACACTAAAGATATATCATAAAGTTGATGTATGAAGGTATATATGCGTGCATATATGCTTTAGGTCTTTTTCAGGAAGCCGATAGCTACGCAAGTCATGTATGGCTGATATTAAATATAAAAGTAAATGAAAAAAGGCATAGAGTTAGTAATGTCCATAATGGGCTGTCTTTTAATCACTAAAAAAATAGAAACAGAAGGAGTTCTAACAGGCTACTCATCAACCCTATTCCATCACCAACTAAGTATCAAAACAAAGCATGCTTTTTGTATTATGGAGAGTTATTACTTATTACTAATGTGTTCCTTTAATCGCACCATCCCCGTAAAGTTACACACATATACAAAGTTACAAACAGACACAACACACCCTTGTACACGTATAAGTTAGTCCATTTAAATGGTGACAGCAAAATAAGTAAAAACAAATACGTTAGTCCGTTTTTTTGTTTTTTTTTTGTTTGTAAACTTGAGAGTTTTATATTGATCCCTTATAACATAACCACAATAAGGACTTTTATTCATGTCTTAGCTACAAACCGTCTTCCATAAATTCTTGATCCCTTAGGTCATAAGAAGACTCAATGCCATAACTTGAGAAAAATATACATTTGAAAACTCAAGGGCTTTACCCCAAAGGGAAATACAAAAATTCTCCAAGGCCCAAGACAAACTTAGGGTTAGGAGGGGGTTTAGAAATAGTTTTCAACCAGCATAGACGCATCTCGGTTAGAACCTCATTAGATGTGTCATTGTCCCAAGCGCAACGATAAGTTTCTTTCAACACAAACCTCTTTATTTATATCAAAACAAAAGCGACCTACTTGATGCATTTTTCCGATGTAGGACTGTATACCATAACAATAACTTTAACATATTCAAAACTTGGCATTCCAAAAAGAAGAACTTAGTCAATTACCTTATAACTTAAAACTTAGAAATGGAAACATGGAAAAAACAAACTAAAACCATTAATGGTAGTGACCGCGCTAACGGATGACCCCTCTGCCACAAATAATAACGCATGCTCTCACAGTTGAGGAGACCTTAAGGATTAAGCTAAGCACCGTTATGTGCAATGTAGGTCACTAGCTTAGGCCACTCGTCTTCTTGGTCGCAAGTCGACCCCGTCCAGGTAAGTGATTCTCTTCGACGGTCCACATCTTCTCTTAGTCTTTGCTTCCTTAATCACTCTTTCAGGTCTAAGCGATGTGGGACTCTTATAAAATGGACACATCTCACTCACATGTTGGTCTCTTAAAGACGAAATGAGTTTTGTGTTCTAGACATGGGCCATACGTTCTCTAAGCCCATTTGAAGTGCATTTTACATACTATCAAGTATCTATTGTTCTTACCCTTTTTTAAAAATGGGTATCTATAGCAATCCACCTATACTATACGTTCAACTAGGATTACCCTCTACGTTCACATCCCGTCCCGTCCCGCTCCAATCCGCTCACGTTCTGTATTTAAATGGGACATATATATGGGATATGTTTTTTTATTCCCAAAATTTCCGTCCGCATCCCATTCCGACAAATTCTCGTTTGCCCACCCCTAATTGAATCCATAATCCCCAAATTCCTCCAAAATTTTCGATATTTCTCAAAATTCAAGAGCCCTGCACTTTGAAAATTCAAAAATTTCCACATTTAAAATCCAAAAAAAGTAATCAACAAAAGGGGGCGATTATAATGACTAATAGCAACCTAATCGTCACACATGAAGCACAATGCGACTCTAAGTATGAGCAAAATCAAAAATAAGCAAGGGTGGTTCAAAAATATTTCAAAGATGAAGATAATTTCGAGAACATACCTTGGTTGTTTTTGGGAGTAGACGCAGATGTAGGAGATGGGGCAGGAATTAATCAGAAGAAGTAAAAATTTCGAGTCTATAGCATCAAAAAAATTTGTGTTTGAGAACATAAATTAAAGAGTAAAAAAAAGGTGGAATTGAATTCGCTTTTACTAATTTTCTTAAGTCAACTCTAGTTTTTTCTAAACTTTTTCAGATTTTTTTATTACACCCCCATTTACTTTGTTCGACAAAAGGTTAATTTATATGCAATAATTGTATCGTGTGTGAGAGAGAAGAAAACGAGTTTTGAGGTAGAAGTAGAAGAGGAAAACGTTTTCTTTTTTAAACTACACCAAAAGGAAAAAGTTGACTTACCTAGGTGTCGCCGCCTACGGCCACGTCTATCCCTGGCCGAAGAAGGATCGCTTCGGAGTTTCCATGACCGAAGGCTATGACAGAAGACCCTACTAAAAAGTCAGAATTGTTTAGCTCTAAACTCCACCATCTTAATGAACAAACATGACTCGATTTCCTCTTGTTTTTGCTTCTAACAAAACAGATCACAACTTTGGTATATTTTATCACCCGTGGAAGATTCGTTATATACAAATGTAATCTCTTACAATGGAATAAAATAATTAACTAGTCACCTCAAAGGAAATCCTTATAACGAGAACCTCTCAATTGCGCGAATAAGAATAATTGACTCGTATTCTTAAAAGAATGTTAGTTATACTTATACGTAGTTACGTGCCATCTACGTCTCGTTTAACGTATTGATCTGTTACATTTACTTTTAAGCTAACATACCATTTTTTTTGCTATCTAGTTGCAACATTCAATCTGTATTTGTTTTCCAAATACATAGATATAATGGATTAATTGGAACTTGGTTAGGTTACGTATATAATTAGAATTTAGAAACATGAAAATTAGTGTATAATTAAGTATAAGATAAGTACATTTTTGTTTTGGTCAACTAGTAGATAGTACTTAGATCATCATTAAGTACTAAAAAGAACTTTGACCAAAATAATAGTACTAAAATAGTCTCATAGGAAAACTGGGAAGAACCTGCTATAAGAAAAGCAAATTAATCTTAAGTTATATATCACTTTGATCTATAAGGAAATGTCATTCATTTTCTTTAGTTTCTCCATATTTGCAGACCCAAGAACTCAGTGAGGATGCTAGAAAAGTCTCGAATTTAATTGATTATTTTATTTACACAGATTTCAGTTGGCAATAAAATTCGGAAAATTAAATAATGAAAAAAGGAATTAGAGGGTACAACCACAAAACAAGAAGAAGCAACAGACCGTAGCAGTGATAGCTAGAGATTCAATGATTGAGACAAAACTCCACAAAAGATCATCAACTATGGAGAGATTACCCGACAAGGACAACAATCTCATGTTCCAACCAGAGCTCAGGGATGAAAGATTCACCTCCGGCCACCGGAATGCCCACGATGACGACAGGTACGACGGTAGATCCATCAACGTCCATCGGGAAGCTGACATCACCAATTTTTTGCTCTCTTCTTCTTCTTCTTCTCTGTTTTCTAGTTTTGGGATCTTTTGGTTCTGAAATTATTAGGAGAATCTTTGTTTTGTTTTTGCAAGAAAAATAAAAAACAAAAGATGAAAGTTTATTTATTAGAAATAATGATGTGACTCACTGTTTCTGATGACAAGTGGTTTTGATTTAGAGGTCCATTCTTTTAATAATCTTCTAATGTTTAACGTATCTACTCGACAAAATATCTTAAGTTAGTAGGACCAGATTAAAATTCCCACAAAATGCTGATATATATGATCCGTTTTGGATATTTGGATATCCAATAACGTTGAATATAATGAAGAGTGGAATTACGTATTTATCTTGAACAGAATAAATGAAAAACTATAAATTTATTATTTTATAAGATTCAAAATAATTTATTCAAACATTATATAGGAAATATTAACGTAAATAAAATAAATTTGTTGATACCAAGTAGGTCTTGGACTACTGCTACATAAAATCTTGCCATTTTCTTATGTCACCAACAATTGGTTGTACTGTTTTTTTTTTTTTAATCTCCTTTCGTTTTGGGAGGACGAAAGTTAAAACTTAATGATATTTTTGGTCCCATATACATCCGAACGTGTTTCATGCTTCCATTGGGTCTTCTTGTCTTCGTCCCACTATAATTTGCTTTAGTGGCTGATTATCATTAGTGATCGTTGTGTTTTGTCGGTACTCCTACTCTATTGCTACTACTCTATGTGTCCAATTCATTAGAGGAACATTTTGGAATTAGCATTACAGTGCTCAAATATTCTTTGTAGAAAATTGATCTTAGCTAGGTTCTTTGAGCATAAGTAATTACCAACATTTTGAAAGTAGTGTTCATTAATCCAATCTAGCACGACAAACGGACAAACATATAATCCGCTCTTACTTGTCACGTATCCTCCTTATGATTTCCCATAATCTATTAGGTAAAAATGCTCTCTCGTTTTCTTTGAACGGAAAAAAATAATGAGAATTTGACTGTTTCAAAGTCAAACATGTTTGCATTTGCATGCAAGTACTAATAAAACAAATTACTGATCTGAAGTATCGAAGAAATTTCAGTTTTTCATAATTTGTTTTTACAAAATACACAAAAATGCCAATAGAAATGTTTTATTTCGTTTGTTTTTAGCGTATTTTTTAACAAAAGTTTTTCTTATAACATGGTATGATTGTGAGTTCAATTCATTTGAAAAATATGCATACCAAATATAGAAAAGTAAACGCAAATGTGAACAGAAAGAACTATGAATTCTAGCTGGTTAATGTCTAGTAGCTTTGATTTGAGATTGGATAATGACGTGGTTGTATAACGTGAGTCACGTGACCTATATATTCATGTGTGGATGCGCCTGCAAAGAGAGTGAAGCACGATGAGTCTCTTTCTTTATTTATTTATGATTCTTACTCGATAGAGTTATTCATCAATATTAACTAGTAGAAACTAAAGAGAGAGCGATGTGTTCCTTTTATGTTTTTTTTTGGAATTTGAATAACATTTTGGGACACTAACAATATGTATAGGATTTCTGATTCCAAGCTACTAGCTAGAGTGCAAGGGAGTTTATTTTCGACACCTCTCGGTCCAATGTCACTCTTCGATATATATCACAATCACGCTCGTCTCTCGGATCACTTCTAGAACCATTTCACTCAAAATTTGGATGTTCTTTTATGTTCCAAATTGAAACCCATCCATTTTTTTTTTACTAAACTTCCGGATTAGCAACTATATTTGTTTTCTTCTTTTTTCCTCTAGTTGATTTCCATGTGATTCTTATATAGTTTTATATTTTCATTATATTTATTTCTGAGTTTGTAGATTAGGTACCTCGTGATTTATAAATTAAAAAATTTATGAATATTTTCTTTACCAAATGGAAGGTGGTCTAGCTAGTACCCTTAACTGACAACAAAAAAAAAGAAAAGAAAAAGCTAGTACCCTTAACTGAGTATGTAAAATCATACAGTAATTAGTTCAACTCCATTTAAAAAGGATGATTTATGCACTAAACTAATATACTATCAAGTATCAACATATATATGGTTTTGGCCTTCGAGAAACACATTTTATTTAAAGAATGTATACATTCTTGGTGATGATCATGATCATGTGATTGACAAAAAAAAGAAGCATGATCATGTGCCTGTTAGAGAAGTTTTATCAAGAGAATTTGTTATGACTACGTATTGGATGTGTATAAAGCCCCCCAAATTAAAATTTATGTTTCAATTCTTAATAAAATTTTGTTAGCTATCGTATTAATTATTGATTATAAACTTACTATATACAATTAAAGATCTTTTCTTTATTTAAACGTTTATACGATGAAAGGTTTAGAGAGACTCATTTATAATAATAACTTTTCAATATTTTAAATTTATTAATTGTTAGAATTTATTTAGAATTTGGAAATGTGTCTTTACTCAAATGGTTAAGTACATTTGAAAGAGACGACAAAAAAGGTTAACATTGCACATTTGAAAATGATGGAAAGACGAACTATTACAGCGGGCGGTGTGTCGAGAGATGAAGAAGGCAATTGGTGTCAAGGGTTTCCTCTAAACATTGGGATTTGTTTAGCTGCCTTAGCCGAGTTATGGGACGTGTATTATAGTCTTTATATAGCTTGAGAGAGATGAGTTACACGGTTGAATCTGGAAGTGGACTCCGTGGTGGTTGTCGGTTTCCTGAAGACATGGATTAGTGAACCTTATCCGCTATCATTCCTTGTACGTTTGTAATATGACTTCCTATTACGTGATTGGATTGTCCATATG